CCCCCTCCGAAAGGATAATTCCTATAAATATATACATATTATATAAATAAATGCCTATAAAAGAGAAAATGAATGTTTAGTTTTAAATTTTAGGATTAATTATAAGAAGCAAACGAACGATTTATACGACATATAAATTACCGATTAATATATATATTTGTCAATACAATTGTTTGGTATTTTGCACCGAAATCTAAACGTAAGGCCAAATTGCACCCAATATTTGGCATAAATTCATGTATTTTGTAAATACAAATTATATATACATTATATAAATATTATACATAATTACAAAACAGAAATGGAAAGATTGATACAATTATATAAATAAAAATGCATTTTTCAAAAAATACACAAAACATAAAATACATGTAAACTCTAATTGGAAAAAACAAAGCAAAAAACATTTTTCCATAGAATTTATTGATAATAATTACTGTATTATTATTCTTATTATTATTGAAAAACATTTTAATTGAAAATTTTTGTAAATATAAAATATAACATAAAAATCTTTAAATAATAGTTGGGATTATTATTATTATTATTACGACACTTATTATATGAGACAAACATTGATATTAAAATCAGTGGCACTCGACGTATGTTGAATGCCATTGGATTTATAAGCGATAAAACAAATCGATTCAAACAAAACTCAAATTATTTTTAAGTTAAATAAAAATCATTTCATAAAATTTATTCTTCAATTCGTATACAAATTTATCATTTAATTAATCATATTTTGCAATCAAATGTACGAAAATGTAATCAAAACTCTGAATATAATACTATAAGTTTTAATGGGATTTTTGGTTCATTTTAATCTCTTGGATAGGGATTAAGTGCTGCCGTATTCTTCATATGACATTTGGTTTATGTTTGTCTCTGTTTTGTTGAATATATTCCCGGAATTTAATGCCATGAAATTCGTGAATCTCAGCGAACGCTCGGCGCGTGAATTGAATGCAATTATCGGCCGACGATTGGCCGATAATACTCGCGCCCGGCCTCACATCCATTAGATCCAGCGCTTCCGTGTCAAACGGATTGGATCGAGCGCTCAAATGACCGCCACTACCGCTGGCACCCGACGCGCTATCTCTCTGACGCTGGAGTCGCGAGTCCTGTAGTTTATTAATGTCGTCGAGTCTGGTCTGGAGTTCTGCCACAATCATCTTCAAGTAGTCATATGAGGCGCAACTCAACGCTTTCATCCACGACTCCATGTCTTGTTGCGAATCGGTTCCCAAGATATAGGTCCGCATTTGTTGACCGCCGCTATTCTGAGCGCTTTGATTGGCGCCCAAATAGAGGCCGTCGGGAGCGCCGGTTCCGCCGCCGAAGTCTATTTTGAAGGCAAACTTTTCGGTCTCGAGTTCGGCCAACTCTAGCCGACAGCCCTCGAGTATAATGAGACCCAACGGTTCCCGATCTGTCTTCTTATCGAAATAGTAGAATAGGTTTCCCTTAAGAACACACCATCTCTTCTGAAACGATCGGTTCAGATCTCCCCTCTTGTAAAGCCATCCACTCTTGTCGACCGGTGTCTGTCGCGAGTGAACCACCGCTACTAATGTCCGCTCATTGATCCGCATTTCTGGCCACCCGTCGCACCGCAACACCGATCACACCATTGGCTCTTCACCACAAACCACACAATCACGTCCTCCACTAAAATCGGGGATCAATTGGTATTAAAAATCCATTTTAATTATCAATAATTGTGTGGGAAATGAGTGAAACAAATGTCTTGTTATCATACCATACAATGTCTTGTATTGGAGGCAATGGTTTGGCCGCAAAACCAATCCAATTGGTGTCCAATTGATTGTCAAATACTATAACTTTGAAACCACTTCTTAAATGACAGCCAAAATGTTTGACACGATTTACTGTTTACACAACACGTACTCAAAACACAACACAAACAGTGTATGCGATAACAGGTGTTGACTGTATTGCGAAGGCGTTGCGAATGACGTCACTGTATATGACATGAGCCGTGAGTTTGACTCTTGTTTTGCATTGCATTTACAGCTGATATCACTGTTTGTGTTGACAATCAGTACTACAAGAAGTGGTCACACATTACACACACGTCTCCTCGAAAAACAATCACCAATTGATCCAATCGTGTCCACAGATATGCCGTCTTTGTCTTCGCGTTCAGTTGTCTGTCATTTGTGTGCGAATTAGTGGACCAAACAAGTGGTGAGACCTCCGAAGCGGCGATGGAATTGAATGGCATGTATTTGATGGCAGTTTTGGCACTAAGTGTGCCATTGATTATACTTTTCTTCACGAGGTATGGATCAAACTCTTTGTGGTGTCGTATGTCTGGTCACTCTTGAGGTCACCGATTCCTCGAGTCTGGTCTCACAATCCATGTTATCGTTAATTAATATTATTGTTATCTATTGTTTCCTGTTTTGCCATCGATGACCATCGCTGACCAGAATCCTTTTGCATGTGGTGTCGTGGTATGTGAACCGCAAGTATTCAATGAAGCTAAAGGTGAATCGCATCGGATTCCTGTCCATCAATCAGATTGTCTTAAGTGTGCCACAGATTGGCGTCAATATTGTAAGTGTTTTATTACTATTTAAATGACTTTTTGGATTAGTTTTTAAAGTTTTATTTTAATTGTAATTTAAAGCTCTATTTAGCAAATAATTTGATTGATTTATATGTAGTTAAGATTTATAAGTATAATAATATTTTATTCATTAATCTAATTACGAGTGAATGACAGCTACTTTTATGATATTTCTATTAAGTTATTACATATTAATTGTATTATTTGTTAATTTCTATTACAATATAATCTATAAGAATGAGTCCAACAATGAATTAACAAAAAATATTCACATAATTATTATATAATAGCGTAACAAATGGCTGTTTTGGGGGTTTCCCTAACTATTGTTACTTTGAAAACTTTTTCAAAACTCGTAACAATTAATTGAAAACATGAGATAATTGTTGTGAAATTATTTTAAATTATTTTTATATTGAAAAACTGTAATTCAATAATTGTTGATTACATTAACTGTAACAATATTTTGCAGTTATATATTGTAAATAATTTTAAAGATTAATTGCTTTTAAACACATAATTGCACTAAACGTGAATTCAAATTGTATAACATTAACAGGAGATCGAAAGCATAGGACTCTCAACCAAATTAGTGAACCAAAAGTATGCATCACTTGTTGTATTAAAGTTATCGGATATTAGATTTGAAGGCGATTTGATTAACGCATTCAAATCAGTGAACATATTTCAAAGGAGTGAACAAAATGTTAGGCCCAGTGCTAACAACAGACAATTCACACACAATATCATAAACCTATTGAATCGGGTGCGAACACTATCCCGGTTCAGATTCATATCCATATCACTTCACAACACATCACTCATGCAATTGGGACTCATTAATGAAAACAATGTTAACGAATGTCTCTTTCATTCAAACATCCAAATGATACAAATCTATTTGACGACCGTTTCTAACAAACGGTTGACACTAATGACAGATATCGAGGGAATTTCGCTCAAACTCTTGAAACACAACAAACATGAGGCGACCGGAGAGACGTGTTTAGCACAGGTCTCGCTATCACTGCACTGTAGTCTTCGCATCGAAGACAACAATCAGATCTCGACCGAAGTGGTGGTAACCGAACCGCAGATCATATTCTACGATATACTACCGATACTTAAATCGCTAAAATCAGCGACCGTTAATCGTGAGGCCAATCGCGCGGCCAATACCGATGGTTTGGTCGCCAAACTGATGAACAATAATTTTAAGCATGAATTTCACAAATTCCTTAAGAGTGCGACATTTAAATCGGACAATA